AAAAAAAAAAAAAAAAAAAAAAAAAAAAAAAAAAAAAACATTCAGCACCAAACAAGCGGCACCAGATAAGCTTCGGGTTACGTGACTTGGTAGTGCGATTACTAACCACTACCATAAAGGTCACAGAGCCTGTGGGTTTCTAGAAAAACACAGAATGTGCAGCGATATTGGACGTGCAGCTGACTTCTGGTGAGATCCGAGTATTGAAACTGCATTAGGGTGCTGACTGAGTCTCTACTGCATAGCTCATGCTAAAGCTGTATCGTTCTGCTATTTCGGGTCAAGTATTGCTTCAATTCAATTCTAATACTTAAAATAATGGAGCAGGTCTGAATTTTGAATAACAGCCTTTATACAAATAATTTTTCCCTGTCTGTGAAGGAACAATGTAATAACTTAAACCAGCTGAAGCTGGCCTCTCAAGCTGGCAGACCAACTGGCTTGAGCCCAGAAGACCAGATCAGGCCAGTTTAAGCTGTTTTTCCTGGTTGGAAAGATATTCAATTTGTCTACAAGGCTTTAGGTGACAATTGTGGCCCTTTTAGACAGTTCACACCAGGTTGAACGTGAACTATAACAAAACAGCCTCTGTGAACTTAAAGGGGTCCAAAGTGCCACCATAACGTTCTGGGACAAAGGGGACAGAGGAAGGAAGAAATAACATGTACTAGATTTGAGACCAGATTAAAAATAGCATGAAAGTGGGACTCCTTTTAAGAAGGAGTCTTCAAACAAAATACTAACAGATGATGCTTGTGAAATGCTTCATAAATGGAAACAACAAATGGATTTGAACCAATTTAAGGTGATTAAAACCAAATACTGTTATACTCGATACACACATTGCCACTTCTTAATTTAGTTTAAATCAGACTTGATGGTAATGCTGAAAAACCAGGTGGCTTTATACCAGGGTCGTCATCAACGGGGACGCACCCTCATAATTTGCAACGAGTCATGTGAATTCAAGTGACGACCCTTGTCTATACCCCTTCTGAACTTCTTCTCTTTAACATTAGAGGTCTAAAAACTTCACAGACATGTGGTATCGTTGAGGTCGATGCAGTTTGGAGGAAGTCGAAATTTAACTGGTTCAATGCTAGCGCTACATTTATATAAAAAAATATATTCTTTCTTACCTAAAAGAACAAAAAAAATCTTCTCTTAAAGCCTTGAGTGATTGTAAGGAGGCCAAAAGAGTTCAATTAAATCCTGGTCCAAACACAGACAGCCCAGCAATGCCAAGAGCCAACAACGCAGAGAAATAGCAAAGGTCTCATGAAAGAACTTGGGCCGAAATGGAAATAAACATTTGCATCTGACATATGTAAGTAGCATCAAAATATTGAAAGGGAAAAAGAGAAACTATATAAAAAAAAAGAAAGAAATAAAGTGGGAATGTCAGGCTCTTTCTGGAATGCTGTTTTGAAACAAAACATGAGCTTCCTAATGTTTATAATATTTGGTCTAATTGCACTTAAGTCATGATTTCATCCATCTGAAAATGTTCAGTAACTATGAAAAGTGAAACTGCAGCATTTTCTCTTGGCTAATCTGTAAACAGTGTCAACCTTGCTTGTCAGTTTCTCATGAGCCAAAAACCACCAACAAAACTGAATACTTCAAAACAACACAAACATTTTCCCTTCATTATTAAAATACAAAAACAATAAAACACATATCTGATTCCCATTAAAGAGTCAGCGTGAATCAATTGAACTTATCTGTGCAATACAAGACCTGCAGTACAAGTTTTAAAAATCACTCGTGGGTAATATTGCCAAGAAGAGAGACAGAACGCAATACTGTACAAGAGTTCACCAATTACAAAAACCAAAGAAGAAACCTCAGCACAGATTAGAAAGTGTATATTAATGAGGCTCTTTCCAGAGAAGAGCTGTTTCGAGATAAGTTTTCAGTTCAACACTGGTCCTAACCAGGTATGATGTGACACATTTCCAGTGAATTTGTCCATCCAAACATGCCTGCGACAAAATCACAGCCTGTCAAAACCTATGGAACGAATTTGGACCATTGAGGTTTTAACAATGGGCGGAGCTACAGAGCACAATACCACAAAAGTAAAAACCAACAAATGTGAAAGACTAAGCGTCCTGTTGCTTAGGGCTTTTTGCAGACGCGACACACTGCAACTCAAGCATGACTTTTATCACTTGTCTTATACCTGGTTAGGACACAACGTAAGGGGCTAAGATCTATCTATAAAGTACAAGAGCTGATTCTGAACATCCTAATCAGTGGGTGTTTTAGAAAAGCCCCATTTCGAGGTGTGCCTTCATATTAGTCATCACTGAAGTCAGAAAGAAAACCTACCTAAATGAAAGAGGTGTTGTTTTAAGGGTAATTGCATGCTTTAAATTAACTCCTGTAGTAACTGTTAGAATGAGGATTATCACAAAGTAAAACTGCATCATCTTAGCAAATCAAGAGAAGCGTAGGATAAGGTTAAAAATGTTTCCACATACAGACTGCAACTGTTGCACATAGAAAAATTTAAATACAAGGAGTAATCTGTCTTGTACTGGATAAAAAAAAAGAAAACAAGAAAAATGTGTTCTGACAACTATTGCTTTGATTTTGATAACTGAGCAGGGTCAGTTCACACCCAACAGCAGTGACTCTACACATGTGTGTGCTAAACGCTTCCACGGGACGACTATTTAAACCTGCATGCTTCAGAGCAATAATCAGTTTCCACAGGAACAGGCTGTTCGCAAACAGCTAGAACCTGTTCTGCATTTGGCCTCAGCTTCGCAAGCAGGGCTGATTTTGGCTGACACCACATGTTGTCTCCAGGAAAAGGGCACAACAATGTAAGATTAAATAAAAATAGTTAATAATCAGACTGATGGATGCTTCCAACCATGAGGTACTATTTAGAGGTGGTTTTCCTAGGCCGGCCTTACTGGGAAATGATAACTCCAATGGGTCGAGGAGGAGAGTTCACATTGAAACTGGAATGCAGATTCAGAACCACTCATGAATCAAAACTAAAAACCTCTGAGGAGTTGTTAATCCAACTGTTAAGATGCATGCTAGACTTCATCTGGAAATAGTTCCTGATTGCAGAAAGATTGTTGGATCAATTGATTGATGTGACGGCGCTGGGCAACTGTTCTCAAACTCCAGACTAGAAAGGATTCCTCAGCAGAAGCACCCTGAGAAGAGGCAGGGAGAGGAGGAGAGTGTAGGAAAGAGAGGACAAACACACCTCTAGAGAGAGAGATGCATTAAAAACTGTCCAAGTTTTAAGGTCTTAGCCAACAAAAGCCTGGCGGCGCAACAAGGGAAACAGTCAACGTTCTTTTAGGGGGGAAAAGTTGAGCAATCTATCCTCTTTTGTCCTTCTTTAAAATATATATTTATTCTTATTGTAAAGGCTTGTCAAGACTCTATGGCTGTATCCCATTGTTATCCCTGGCCTTTCTGAAATAAACATCTACTCGAGGAACTGCAAGATATCTTTGAGCAAGTGATCACTGCCAAACATGATAGTTCACCCACAGGAACACGCAGACGATGCAAGCTTTGGTACGTGATTAACCAGATAAAGCTGCCCATGCAGATCATTGCGAATGCTGACTATGACCTGACACAAAAGTCCTCTGCTCGAGACCAGAACCGGAGGGGGCGGCAGGGGGAATCTTCCAATATGTGCAAAATCTCAAACATTCTGAGGCTACATTCTCTCTCCCTCTGACCACGCTCCCTCTTTCGCATTCGTTCGCCCGACTGACACTTCGCTCCCATGGACAATCTCTTTTGTCTGCTACTTCCCGGCATTCGAGCGCCCCTCGATGGAAAGCTTGACCTCCTGAGGGATAAACGACGGCCGAGAGGAGCCAGAGGTGGCAGCTGATGCTAAACTCCCTCCATCCTCATTCTTGATGCTGTATCTTTGGAAGCCAGGGGCAGAACAGCGCCTCAGGGATGCCCCTACGGAAGAGGCTCCCGCTCCAGTTCCCAGTGGAGCATGACCCTCAGGGTGCAAATAGTAGTTGCTCTGGCTCCGAGTGTGCTCTGCTGAAGTCCTGTTCGGTCTTGGGGTCACGTCGACATGTCTCGAACCCAATACCTGCATGGGCTCCTCCTTGTCCCGGTCCCTCTCTCGATGGATGCGCTCCATTTTTAATTGGCTTTGTGGCCGAGGGGTGTGCTGGGGCGCAGGGGGGCCCATGGGCTGAGGTGGGGCTCCTGACGTGGAGTTGACTTTGGTGGGAGTCCGGGCCTGAACTTGCTGGGGCGGTTTCTGCTGCGACGCGGTTTGCTGCTGCAGCGTCACAGACACGCAGACATCGCCCACTTGCAGATGTTGGCAGGTGAGACCGTACAGTTGGGCAGTCCGCTCAGGGCTACAAGACGACCAGCCCTGGCCAAAAACGAAAAACGGGTGTTCGGGGGGAACATCTATAGTCACTTTGCTCTGCTGCTCCCCCACGTTGAAATGCAGCGCCACTAGACCGGGTCGCTGTTGACTAGCGCGGATGTCCACTACCATGCTTGAGTCGATCTTCAGCCCGCCGCTCACTTCTGCGCTCCGCACGAAGTCCTGAGTCTGCAGATCTTCTACGCGCTTGAGCTCTCCAGTAGCCAACTGGATGATGGCGCCCTTCATGAAGTGCGACGGGCCGGAGGGTGCCAGCAGAGGAGCCTGTGGGAAAGTACCAGGAGGCTGCTGGGAGGGCTGTTGCCCCTGTTGGGAAGGCAGCTCCACCACCGCCCGCTCTGGGAGACATGCTACTGCATCCATGGCTTTATTATATGCAGCAGGAGAAGCAGCGATTGCTGCCGAGGCCACATCGTTGGGTTGAAAATGCTGCTGCTGCTGTGGGTGGTGATGGTAGTCGAGAGGCACAAGAACAGGCTGCCCATTGGCCAGGATAACGGCATGGCTTTGTTGAACAATCTGCTGCTGATGTGCTCTAGATTCAGCTGGATTTGATGCATAAGGTGTTCTGACTTCGCCCTGAGTCTCTCGACCCCTCTGAGAGCTTTGAGACAGGTTCAGAGGGACATGCGCTGCTTCCTTGCGACTTGTGCCGTGGACAGGAGAGGCAAATCGTCCGACCACCTGCTGGACCTGAAAAGAAACCACATTTAAAGTGTCATTTTATTTTAGAATTACTACATTTTGATATAAATCAAAAAACAATCTCTGTTGTTTCTAAGTAGTAGTAACCCGAGTTACTCAATCCTTAACACACCCAAAGAACAGCTAATAAAGTGCCGAGCGGCGCTTGTGTCGCCGTTTGCTCAGAAGGGAGCACCAGAGGAACTCCCATTTTGGTGTAGGCATGGGTCGAGATCTGCTGCTGCGGAGAGCCAACTCCTTCCTGAATGACTGACTGATACGGAACCAGGTGGGAAACAGAGTGCGGCTGGGAAATAGCGGACTGAGATGGTATCAAAGGGCTGGGAACGAATCCCGGAGGCACGGCGTAGGGAACCGCAGCTCCGTAGGGAGAGCTAACAAACTGCAATGAGGAGTGAGGGATCTGGGCGTAGCAGAGCGGAGGGTAGGGAACGCTCGTGTGCTGTAACACCTGGGAGGGAACGGTGTAGGCAGGAGAAATGTGGCTAAGAATGGGGTGCAGATTGGTGGGTGAGTAGGTGCCAGCGGGCAGAGCTACTTTATAAAGCATGCTATACTGATCCACAGGAAGCCCAACGAGACCCTCACCACCATCCATCCCATAATGCACGCTCGGCTGGGCTCGCACCCATTCGCCACTACCTTCTCCACTCACACCAGAGCATTGTGAAGATGGGGCATCCTCACCTCCTCCCCCTGCACTCCCAATGCTGCTGCTGATGCTACTGCTGTTATGGTTGTAGGTAGAGGTGTTGTTGTTGTTGTTGTTAACAGGGAGGTCCCGCTTCTTGGGAGGGAGGCACTCCTGGTTGCGCTCGTGGACTGGCTTCATGGTGATTCGGGATGAGAATGGGCGCTGTTACTGAACAGAGGATGGGACGAAGCCTGGCAGCCGCGGAAATAGCACCACTGGAATCAGCTCTGAAACTCTCCCGCTGGCCTCTTCCATCACCTTACCTGAATGCATAAAGAAATCATGTATAAACTAAATATGTTTGGTCACACTTAATTTTAAGGTCCAATTCTCGCCATTAACTACAACTTTTGCCTCAAACTCATAATTTGCTGCTTATTAATAGTTAGCAAGGTAGTTGTTAAGTTTAGGTATTGGGTAGGCTTAGGGATGTAGAATATGGTCATGCAGAATATGTGCTTTATGAGTACTAATAAACAGCCAATATGTTAATAATAGGCATGCTAATAAGAAACTAGTTAATAGTGAGAATTGGTCCCTATACTAAAGTGCTACCATATGTTTAAATGAATGATGAATAGGCTTGTGCTTAACATATTGGCCAGGCCAATAAAACAGCAGGTTTTGAGATTGTTGCATTGGCTGACAGCCTTGTCACATAGATATTGTACTTTTTCTGTATATTTCAAATTTTTTAAATCAATTTTTAGTAAATATTGTGCCAAATACGTGGCATATTTATTAAAGCAATTTTGAAGTAATGTGCAAAAGGACACATTTTCAAATAAGTTATATAGCAATTTAGATTACATTTCACAGTATTAAAGGGCACTTTAATAAAAGTATTATTCCTGTCTCACAGATATCGCACATTTTCTAATTTAGGGCTGCTCCATGTGAAAACACGCATGTGATGGAGATTTACTGCTGATTACAGAACCGGCTTTACTGACAAGATGCGCATTAAATATCGCATGCGATTTATCGTGCAGCCCTATTTTCTATACATTTCAAATATTTTTCGTTAATTGAGTACATAGAGTAAAAAAGTACCATATTAGTAGCATTATTTTAACAACGGGTGTTCGGGGGGAACATCTATAGTCACTTTGCTCTGCTGCTCCCCCACGTTGAAATGCAGCGCCACTAGACCGGGTCGCTGTTGACTAGCGCGGATGTCCACTACCATGCTTGAGTCGATCTTCAGCCCGCCGCTCACTTCTGCGCTCCGCACGAAGTCCTGAGTCTGCAGATCTTCTACGCGCTTGAGCTCTCCAGTAGCCAACTGGATGATGGCGCCCTTCATGAAGTGCGACGGGCCGGAGGGTGCCAGCAGAGGAGCCTGTGGGAAAGTACCAGGAGGCTGCTGGGAGGGCTGTTGCCCCTGTTGGGAAGGCAGCTCCACCACCGCCCGCTCTGGGAGACATGCTACTGCATCCATGGCTTTATTATATGCAGCAGGAGAAGCAGCGATTGCTGCCGAGGCCACATCGTTGGGTTGAAAATGCTGCTGCTGCTGTGGGTGGTGATGGTAGTCGAGAGGCACAAGAACAGGCTGCCCATTGGCCAGGATAACGGCATGGCTTTGTTGAACAATCTGCTGCTGATGTGCTCTAGATTCAGCTGGATTTGATGCATAAGGTGTTCTGACTTCGCCCTGAGTCTCTCGACCCCTCTGAGAGCTTTGAGACAGGTTCAGAGGGACATGCGCTGCTTCCTTGCGACTTGTGCCGTGGACAGGAGAGGCAAATCGTCCGACCACCTGCTGGACCTGAAAAGAAACCACATTTAAAGTGTCATTTTATTTTAGAATTACTACATTTTGATATAAATCAAAAAACAATCTCTGTTGTTTCTAAGTAGTAGTAACCCGAGTTACTCAATCCTTAACACACCCAAAGAACAGCTAATAAAGGAAGGAAGTGGTGTAACTGGTGCTGACTCACAAGAATTACTTTTGAGGCAAAATTCTGAAAATGCATTAAGTAGTGATGAAGTAGTAGACATTCACATTAATAATATATGATCCAGAGCAGTGTTGTTACTATTAACTAAAAAGTCAGTAATTGAAATAAAACCTAAATAGTCAAATATAAATTTTTGAAAAAAATAAACTATAAAACAAACGAAAATTAGAAATGTTGTCTTAAAATCAAGTTTAAGATGGAGAGCTTAAATAAAATAAATAAAACAAAAACCGAACTAAAAATAACGTAACACTAAATAGAAGTATTAAAAAGACAAACTAATAAAAATGACAAAAGCAAATAACAAAATTAATTAGGCCTACTTGAGCTAAAATTTTATATAAAAATAAAGGCTAATTCAAAATATTTCAAAGAAATATAATAGTTTATAATAATGCTAAAATAACACCGGCACAGTCAGATCCAAAATCCAGAAAATCTGATTTAACCAAGAAAAAACAACATAAGATTTTTCATGGTAGCCAGCAAACACATTCATTCTAAAATAATTCATCACTTAAAAACAGCAATTTAAATTTTAAATGTTTTGTTATTTGTTTAATTGGGCTCTCCTCATTTATATATATATATGGATCAGACAAAGATTTGATTTTGATACATGGATTAGACAAAAATTTGTAATGCAAAATGAATAACATCAGAAAAACTGTCAGATCAACATATTCACTACTGTTTTAAGTGTTGAATTCAAGTTTCCCCATCATTTTTAAACACTTTTCAGCTTTTCTAATGTGCACTCAAAAGTCATGTGATGTGGCAAATTAAGTCAACATGAAATCAAAACATCACCCTATTTACTTAAAGCACTTTCCTGTTGATACAGTAATAACTTGCTCTTCCTCTGAAATCACTTCCCCTTTTCAAATAGTTTAGGCAATTTTTTAGCAAACCCTGAGTGAGCCTATGATAATAAACCATCCTTCCCTCACCTCGAGATCAGTGTCCGGTGTGCTGCTCTGTCTTGGCGACATTCTGCCCTCCAGCCTGCGGCTTTTCAAGCTCTTGTCTTGCTGGGGCTCGGCCGCAGTGGCCTGCAGCAGCCGTGCACTTCTGGCCGAAAAAACTGCATCTTGATGGCTCTCCCTGCCTCCGTGCTCTCTGTCCCCTCCATTCACCTCTCTCTCCTGCTCCATGGAGCTGCTGTGCAGGTCTCTTTGCGGTTGGACGCCCCTAACGGTGGGGTGATAGTACACAGCTCTCGGGCTGAGCTCCCTGGCAGGCAGCATCCCTACAGTGCCGAGCGGCGCTTGTGTCGCCGTTTGCTCAGAAGGGAGCACCAGAGGAACTCCCATTTTGGTGTAGGCATGGGTCGAGATCTGCTGCTGCGGAGAGCCAACTCCTTCCTGAATGACTGACTGATACGGAACCAGGTGGGAAACAGAGTGCGGCTGGGAAATAGCGGACTGAGATGGTATCAAAGGGCTGGGAACGAATCCCGGAGGCACGGCGTAGGGAACCGCAGCTCCGTAGGGAGAGCTAACAAACTGCAATGAGGAGTGAGGGATCTGGGCGTAGCAGAGCGGAGGGTAGGGAACGCTCGTGTGCTGTAACACCTGGGAGGGAACGGTGTAGGCAGGAGAAATGTGGCTAAGAATGGGGTGCAGATTGGTGGTTGAGTAGGTACCAGTGGGCAGAGCTACTTTATAAAGCATGCTATACTGATCCACAGGAAGCCCAACGAGACCCTCACCACCATCCATCCCATAATGCACGCTCGGCTGGGCTCGCACCCATTCGCCACTACCTTCTCCACTCACACCAGAGCATTGTGAAGATGGGGCATCCTCACCTCCTCCCCCTGCACTCCCAATGCTGCTGCTGATGCTACTGCTGTTATGGTTGTAGGTAGAGGTGTTGTTGTTGTTGTTGTTAACAGGGAGGTCCCGCTTCTTGGGAGGGAGGCACTCCTGGTTGCGCTCGTGGACTGGCTTCATGGTGATTCGGGATGAGAATGGGCGCTGTTACTGAACAGAGGATGGGACGAAGCCTGGCAGCCGCGGAAATAGCACCACTGGAATCAGCTCTGAAACTCTCCCGCTGGCCTCTTCCATCACCTTACCTGAATGCATAAAGAAATCATGTATAAACTAAATATGTTTGGTCACACTTAATTTTAAGGTCCAATTCTCGCCATTAACTACAACTTTTGCCTCAAACTCATAATTTGCTGCTTATTAATAGTTAGCAAGGTAGTTGTTAAGTTTAGGTATTGGGTAGGCTTAGGGATGTAGAATATGGTCATGCAGAATATGTGCTTTATGAGTACTAATAAACAGCCAATATGTTAATAATAGGCATGCTAATAAGAAACTAGTTAATAGTGAGAATTGGTCCCTATACTAAAGTGCTACCATATGTTTAAATGAATGATGAATAGGCTTGTGCTTAACATATTGGCCAGGCCAATAAAACAGCAGGTTTTGAGATTGTTGCATTGGCTGACAGCCTTGTCACATAGATATTGTACTTTTTCTGTATATTTAAAAATTTTTAAATCAATTTTTAGTAAATATTGTGCCAAATATGTGGCATATTTATTAAAGCAATTTTGAAGTAATGTGCAAAAGGACACATTTTCAAATAAGTTATATAGCAATTTAGATTACATTTCACAGTATTAAAGGGCACTTTAATAAAAGTATTATTCCTGTCTCACAGATATCGCACATTTTCTAATTTAGGGCTGCTCCATGTGAAAACACGCATGTGATGGAGATTTACTGCTGATTACAGAACCGGCTTTACTGACAAGATGCGCATTAAATATCGCATGCGATTTATCGTGCAGCCCTATTTTCTATACATTTCAAATATTTTTCGTTAATTGAGTACATAGAGTAAAAAAGTACCATATTAGTAGCATTATTTTAACAATATACACAAATATGTATAATATAGCAATTTAGTTCATTTCACATTTTTAAAGGACAAGTCTGTCAATTTTCAACCAGCTTTGTATCGCAATATCAGTAGCATATGTGAATAATGAACACTGTGTAGCCTAATCTTTCTCCTTGTTACCTGCACCCAGATATCACCATTTATTTTTTAGTTTAAAAACCTCTGTGTTAGATAACAACAATCAGCATTGACTCAAACCTTTAGATTTATTAGAATTCAATTCAATTCAGATTATTTGAACAATATACACTTAAAACCCAATTTTGCTATTTATTTTGCAAATTAAAAATAAACATTACATTAAACAAATAAAATAAAAGACAGAAAATTAGAAATGCTGCCTTGACAACAAGATAAGTTTACGATGAAGTATTAAAACTACTAAAACTGAAAGAAAACATTACATTTAAATAGCAATTTAAAAAACAAAACAAACTTACAAAAATGGCACAAACTTTAACGTCACAACATTACGAAGTTGGTTACAAATGGTCAAACTTTTCCGTTGAAAAACATTGACAACATTTTTTGTGGTATGACTGCGTGTCATTTATATTATAGAGCAAAATGTGGAAGTCTGAGTAACGTTAACCACAGACCTATTTTACTCATTAAATCAAGTCACTTTTCTAAAAACCCATTGGAAACTACCGAGGAAATCCACAAACATGCCTTCCAGTTTGGCCTAAATATATCAACACAAACAAGAAAACAAGATAAATAAACTACAAAATAAAATCTTCATGACAAATAACATTCAACTTTGTTAATGCAGTTAAAGGGGAATTTTGTAAACTTCTGTTTTCAGATATTCATTCAAATTGTAAAATTCACCATATTTTACTTAATTGTATTTTAATCACTAATGTTACCCTAAAAAATAAATCAGCTATAATATACTACAACCATTTTATGTAAAATAATATTATTTAACCTTGTATCTCACAGGGGGAAAAAAAACTAAACAATAAAAACCAAGCACAGCAACAGCCATAACAGTTAATAGAATTAGGCCTAAAAGATAAAGCACTCAAAATACATTTCTTCCAGGCTAACTGTATTGTGCCCGTGACGCTTCTGTGATTTATACACAGTAAATTCAATAAAGAGAAAGAAAATGCACATTCAAGTGCAGAATAGAAAAAGCCTGCGCCCTTTCTGTCCATGTTCTTATAAAGGGGTCCTATTATGCTTTTTCACTTTTAGTCAGTGTGTAGTGTGTAAGGGAAAAAAGTATTTTAATAATGTAAATTATGTGAAAAATAATGTGTTTCAAACCACCAAGCATGAGAGTATGTTCTAGTACACCCCCAAAACAAAATCAAGACTTTGTAAAAGAGCATAATAGGACCCCTTTAAAGAAACAGACACTCATTCTCATACACTGGGGTCCACATGTTCGCCAGATCAGAAAATAACCAAAACTGAGAGCCACAATGGCCTACATATTAAAAATAGCTAATCTGACATTTGTGTGTGTTGTTTAAAATGTGGTATACTTCAATCTAAGCACGTCTAAAATGTGGTATACTTCAATCTAAGCACGTCTAAAATGTGGTATACTTCAATCTAAGCACGTCTAAAATGTGGTATACTTCAATCTAAGCACGTCTAAAATGTGGTATACTTCAATCTAAGCACGTCTAAAATGTGGTATACTTCAATCTACGCACGTCAAAAATGTGGTATATTTTATTATTAGCATATCTAGTTATGGGTTTAGTGCAGCTTTGATTTAAAGCATCTGATATAAACACACGGCAGACTTTGTTTTGATATGATTAGACAAAATATTCTCCCATAAAAGGTAACAAAATGCCCCACAAAATTGAAATTTTTTGAAAATGGCACATTTCAGGTGCAAATGCCTCGTGTCGTGATTTGACACTACGTGCCAAGTGTATAGAAATGGCTTTCCTAATTCATAAATACAGAAATATCTCGTTTTAGCAGCCAATTTCACAAATCAAACAAGTCACTGAATTACCCGCAAAAATGAAAAGTTTCTATGAAACGGAAACTTCGCCCTTACCCTGACACCATTAAACTGACACAGAAAAGAGAAAAACATTTTTAAAAAAGCACTAATGAGACACGCTTTAAAGCAGATGTCGGTGTTTTGGGAGTAATGACACACAAGCAGAGACACTAACGTTAGAGATGTTTTCATGAGGACTCGAGCGTTAGCCAGCTGCTATTCAAGCCTGTAACCTCGCTAGCCACACACCTCACACGGGGAACATAACCCTGCGTTTGTAGAAATACGTTTGGGGCGTTCGTTTCAGTACGTTAAACCTAATTGTGCCAGTTAAAGCGTGTTCGAAAGTAAAGCAGGAGTAAACGAGAGGCTGGGCTTTACGCTAACGGGCTAATCGCTCTTCCCACAGACTCCAACAGCCGCTTCTCCGACCGGCCCGCGACGAAAACACTCACCTCCGCATGGCATCGTGTAGACGACGTGCAAAAACACAGACTCTCGGTGGAGTGCGCGCAATAAATCAGTGGTTAAATGTGGGCTGGTGATATCTGCCCATTCCGGAGGCCAGCAGACTGAAGCCCAGCGGCGCGCGCTGATGACGTCGCGGGTCTGCTTCTTCTTCTTCTTCGGTTTTATGGCGGGTTGCGAACCAACTTCATAGGTGCATACCGCCACCTGCTGCACTTCAGCAACAGCAGAAATATCTCATTTTAGGGATAGTTTTACGGGTGGGTTATTTACTGTTTTACTGGGGTTTAGGAAATATATATTTTATGTATGATATATTATATAATATAAGTTAATATAGCAATACATTAAGTAATCATATGTGAGCCTGGAGCACAAAACCGTAAAAAAAAAAAAAAGTAAAACGTAAAAATAATAAGGGTCCATTTTTTATATACATCATGTGTGGTTTGTTAGGATAGGACAATATTTGGCTGAGATACAACTATTTGAAAATCTGGAATCTGAGGGTGCTCTCAACTAAATATTGAGAAAATCACCTTTAAAGCTGTCCGAACGAAGTCCTTAGCAATGCATATTACTAATTAAAAATTAAGTGATTAAAAATTAGGAAATGTACAAAATATCTTCATGGAACATGATCTTTGCTTAATGTCCTAATGATTTCTGGCATAAAAGAAAAATCGGTACATACAATGTATTGTTGGCTATTGCTACAAATATACCCCAGCGACTTAACACTGCTTTTGTGCTCCAGGGTCACAGATGTTATATATTTTATATGGCGCGCGCTGATGACGTCGCGGGTCTGCTTCTTCTTCTTCTTCGGTTTTATGGCGGGTTGCGAACCAACTTCATAGGTGCATACCGCCACCTGCTGCACTTCAGCAACAGCAGAAATATCTCATTTTAGGGATAGTTTTACGGGTGGGTTATTTACTGTTTTACTGGGGTTTAGGAAATATATATTTTATGTATGATATATTATATAATATAAGTTAATATAGCAATACATTAAGTAATCATATGTGAGCCTGGAGCACAAAACCGTAAAAAAAAAAAAAAGTAAAACGTAAAAATAATAAGGGTCCATTTTTTATATACATCATGTGTGGTTTGTTAGGATAGGACAATATTTGGCTGAGATACAACTATTTGAAAATCTGGAATCTGAGGGTGCTCTCAACTAAATATTGAGAAAATCACCTTTAAAGCTGTCCGAACGAAGTCCTTAGCAATGCATATTACTAATTAAAAATTAAGTGATTAAAAATTAGGAAATGTACAAAATATCTTCATGGAACATGATCTTTGCTTAATGTCCTAATGATTTCTGGCATAAAAGAAAAATCGGTACATACAATGTATTGTTGGCTATTGCTACAAATATACCCCAGCGACTTAACACTGCTTTTGTGCTCCAGGGTCACAGATGTTATATATTTTATATTGAAATCAGTCATATTAGTTATTTTTCAAAAAAAAAAAAAAATCTAACTTCAGTGAACAGGAGTTCATTTTAAATAATTTCATTACTTTCTTGTTTTTTCCTCTCCTGTTCTGTTTAATATCAATAGATGGCAACGTTGAGCTTTGAGGAGACTGACAATTAAAGAGCTGCAGTGCGTTTAAAGCATCTCGCGGTTAATAAACAGAACTGCACACATCCCGCGGAAGAACATTCCAACCGGAACTACTTCTCGAAGTTTACGTCTCTGGCGATTCACGCAGGTATGTGTTACTCCGCAGCGACAATAGTCCGAATATAAGCACTTATTATAAGTGTACCGTAGTGATTCGGAATGAGACAAAAACGCGGTTTGGAAGATTAATTCATGATGTACTCGCTCATTATATACATTGAGCAAATTTTGAGCACAGAAAAAGTTACACAGTGCTGCTTTAAGATAAAAATATCCTTGCTCTATACTGAGATGTTCAGACTCAGAGGCTAAAAACAACAGGACTGATAATACTAATCATGGTTAAGGGATCAAATGTGTTAAGCAAGGGCTTTTCAGTCTTTTAGATGCCACAGGCTCCCCAAATACTAAGACAGCGTCTATATATTAGTGTGTAAAGACCCAATTTAAGGGTGAAAATTTATTTTATAAATCTGTGTAAAATCATATTTGGAAAATGTTTTACATGTATTACTTTTTTTCCTAATCATTATACTGCATAATCAATGTTTTATTATTTATTCACCTTTAAATATTTTTTATCATTTCTTTATTTTAATTATATCTTATTGTTTATTTATTTCAAATGTATTATTCAAAATGTATGTAGTTATTTCGTCTAATCTTTTTTTGTTGTTGTTTTCACATTTTGCATTTTTTTTAGCCTTCAATAATTGGAATAAAAATAAAATGTAATTAGATAATATGCAATTAATTATTATATAATTAGATGAAAAACTTAGAAGAATCTTTTTATAGTTTATAATAATATAATATGATATACAATAATACAGTATATATATATATATGTGTGTGTGTGTTTTTGGGAAATTGTATTCACTGTAATAAACTAAACTAGTGGCGGGAGAAACGAATCTTTTCAAAGCTTCGAATCAATTGAACCAGTTGCTTTGCAAAATGATTCACTGATTCGAAGCGCTCGAGACACCACACGCTGGTGACGCCTGCTGGCCAAAAGTCTGTAAATGCAACAAAAACTTTAGGCTAAAAAATGGATTAAAAACAGCTTTTAAAAACCCACTGCAAATGTTTTTTTTTAAATATAATATATGAAATGCTATAAAAATCATAAATAAAATACCATTGAATATGAAGTGTCTGTATAACATGTGGTTTTAAAAATATTTTATATTAATTTGCAAGGCTTGTTTTTTTTTTGAGAGCTTGTAGAGGCCAGTAAGACACGATTAACTACTTCTCATCCTTTTAATTACACAAATGTCGCGTAAAAATGTCTGCAAATTGATGAAACTGATCCGAGATCAGGTAAAAACCATAGAATTATTTTTCTTTATTTAAAAAAAACAAAAAAACACACTAGCTTTCTATTTTTTCTATTCTATCTACTTGTTTTTATTTGTGTGTGTGTGTGTGAGTGAGTGAGTGTGTGTGTGAGTGAGTGAGTGTGTGTGTGAGTGAGTGAGTGTGTGTGTGAGTGAGTGAGTGTGTGTGTGAGTGAGTGAGTGTGTGTGTGAGTGAGTGAGTGTGTGTGTGAGTGAGTGAGTGTGTGTGTGAGTGAGTGAGTGTGTGTGTGAGTGAGTGAGTGTGTGTGTGAGTGAGTGAGTGTGTGTGTGAGTGAGTGAGTGTGTGTGTGAGTGAGTGAGTGTGTGTGTGAGTGAGTGAGTGTGTGTGTGAGTGAGTGAGTGTGTGTGTGAGTGAGTGAGTGTGTGTGTGAGTGAGTGAGTGTGTGTGTGAGTGAGTGAGTGTGTGTGTGAGTGAGTGAGTGTGTGTGTGAGTGAGTGAGTGTGTGTGTGAGTGAGTGAGTGTGTGTGTGAGTGAGTGAGTGTGTGTGTGAGTGAGTGAGTGTGTGTGTGAGTGAGTGAGTGTGTGTGTGAGTGAGTGAGTGTGTGTGTGAGTGAGTGAGTGTGTGTGTGAGTGAGTGAGTGTGTGTGTGAGTGAGTGAGTGTGTGTGTGAGTGAGTGAGTGTGTGTGTGAGTGAGTGAGTGTGTGTGTGAGTGAGTGAGTGTGTGTGTGAGTGAGTGAGTGTGTGTGTGAGTGAGTGAGTGTGTGTGTGAGTGAGTGAGTGTGTGTGTGAGTGAGTGAGTGTGTGTGTGAGTGAGTGAGTGTGTGTGTGAGTGAGTGAGTGTGTGTGTGAGTGAGTGAGTGTGTGTGTGAGTGAGTGAGTGTGTGTGTGAGTGAGTGAGTGTGTGTGTGAGTGAGTGAGTGTGTGTGTGTGTGTGTGTGTGAGTGAGATGAATTCATGCATATACATATTTATTTTAGAACTACAGTAACATCTTCTGATTTCTCTCAACATGGGGACAGGAGAGCTGTCAATCAATACATTGGAGGAAAAAAAAGTAACTTGCGTTACTTATCTGAAAAAGTAACTCGGATATTCTCTTGTAAATTAAAAAGTAATGCGTTACTTTACTAGTTACTTGAAAAAAGTCATCTGATTACGTAACTCGCGTTACTTGTAATGCATTACCCCCAACACTGGCTAAACGACAAAATTATAAATAATAATAAAAAGAATAAAATGGTTCGCCGCTGGGCCCAACAGTTTACTGAAACCACGTGACTTTGGCCGTTCGATTCGCGATCCGAGTCACTGATTCGAACACATGATTCACCAAAGTTTCGAAGCTTCGCGAAGCAGTGCTAAATCTAACTCGTGTTGATTCGATAACTCTTATGTGTAACCAGGCATTTGTTCTCATGTTTAATCAGTAGCCCAAGGATGTTGTAGTCATCCGGACAGTGTCTTATCAAACACGTTAAACTCGTTTTAGCAGTGCGCTGCTAGCTGTTAGCTGTTAGCTGTTGAGATGAGCATGGAGTCGTGTGTGCTAACGCTACAGGGAGCGGAGGCTGGAGGATTCATTCTCATTCAAGGTAACAGCGTTTCTAGTCATCTTCAGTCCTCGTATCTTTCTACAGTGTGTTCATGTGGTGTTGTTTGTAGATACTGTCAAATGCAGCGGGCGCGGACTCCTCAGGTGTTTTATTAATGCAGCATTGAAGAGGCAAGTTTCTGTCCGCTTCTGGTTTGTTTTAGTTGTGCTGTTGCTACACTTGCTACAGTGTTTGATTTGTTTTTAATCTTTTATAGAGGCGAGGACGTACATGTGCTGGGATTTGAGAGCCCTGAAACAGAAGTGTGTGCTGGTTTGGACAGCAGCTGTGTGCAAAAGTGAGTTAGCCTAAATAAAATGAAAACAGTACTCTTGATTTGTGACTTGAGGCGTGCTTTCATGCATACTGTGCGGTGACAGCTGAACGCTCATAGCAGCATATGTACGGCAGTTCAGTTGTTCTCAACACATTTTCTTTTGCATTTGCCATTATTTTTCCTGTTGCTTATTCAAATAAATATTGCAAAATTTATTCATATTTTACAATTAATCGAAATTCTAATCGCGATTACAATTATGGATGCCACAATTATGTAATCGTTCAAAGTCCACTTATGTTATTCTGCATCCTTAAGATGCGTATTTTTCTTTCTACATGTTATCTAAAGGGTTTTTCCATTGTTTTAATTTTAGTTTTAGTATAACATTATAATACCATTCATATTTTTTTACATTTTTATAATTTAAAGAAGAATGTATAGTTGACGTTTGAGGCTTAATACTATAGAAAAGCGAAAAGAGTTTTCAGCTTGTTTATTTTCATATAAAAATACGGCATGCAGTTGCATCAGACAATGGTATAAACATCATTCAATGTAAATTGTGATCATCGTAATTAATAATCACAATTACAATTTCAAGGGAATAATCGACAATTATGATTTCTGTCATAATCGTGCAGGCTTAATGGTAAGACACATCAATTTTCAATATCAAGCAGCAAAACGAGCTGTTTTGTGCAGCTAAAAGACCGGAAGCTAGACCCATAGAATTTACAAATAGCCCATTTTTACGGCAAGAAAAGGTGGATAGTTGGTGCCACTGAAATGCTTTATCTGATCTGTTTAAAGGCTTCATTTTCATAAGGGTTTCCCTGATCCGCTCGGCTGGACGCGCAGATCATCTTTCACCGTCGAGCGGTTTGCTTCTCAACACATAACTCAGCTCTTCAAAGACACGCAGCAAGCCAAAGCATCAGTGCTTGTTGTTGACTCCCTCTCATTGGTTTTGAGACATCATGACCCTCTTGTCTTCTGCCAGACACTTCAAGAGCTCCGGAAAGGTGAAACGTTTTCCTCCAGAAACACTTTCACAAACTGTGTTGCTTCTATAAATACTGGCTTTTGATTGTTGTCATTTTAGATCTAGGAAAACTAATGCTCTTGTTTGTGTTTTCCACTGACCACTAGGAGGAGTTATTAAAACTATCATCGGCCTCCTGCATTCAGACTTGCATCAGCAAGGCGTCGTGGGTATTGTGTGCTACTTAGCCAGTACTGTTATCTCTGTGGCACCTGCAAACAATGAACGCCATTCTGTGGCAAAGACCACAAGACGCACAAAGTCAGGCAAAGTCATGCAAGAGGTAAGATATGTGACCCTGGAGCACAAAACCAGTCATAAGTAGCACAGGTATAGCTGTAGCAATAACCAACAATACCAGGGTTGCCAGGTTTTCACAAGAAAACCCGACCAATCTCTACTAGCCCAAAACTAGTCCAATCGTGTTTCGAGGGGGTCCCCAGTTAGAAATCGATTTCGAAAAATTGTCCCTTATGACTGGTTTTGTGCTCCAGGGTCACACATGAGGTTTTAGTCTGAATAAACATGAGATTATAAACGGATTATCTGGGAAATAATTTTCTAGGAAGAGTATTTCAGTGTGTGCGAGGACGCAACTCTTTCAGTACAGGCCAGTCCACGTCAGCCTGGACATGCACAGAAAGAGCGAGATGTGTCTGAGGTGAGCAAAAGCCGCTTTGGTTTTCAGAGCACCTTCAGCTGGAGGTTTTGCGTTGTAACTGTTTGTCTTTTATTGGGATGTGATCAGGCTGATCCAACATCAAACCTGACTTTCAATCTGCGTCTGTCTGAGGAGGAGAGAAAAGCCAAGGAGAAAGTGGCACTGCCGTTTGTATTTAGCCAAGAAAAGTAAGAGACCTCAATTCTTGTGAACGCTGTTTTAGTATTCTTTTTATACTAGAGTTTTATTAATATTTTAAATTTAATTTTAATTTGTTAAAATTGTAGTAATTTTGTGTGCTTTTGTCTTTTTCTTTTATTAGTTTTAGATTTTTTTGAGTTTTTTATTTGTTTTAGACCTCGGTTGCTGTAAAGAGTGTTGTATTAGTATTATTGTTTATAGTTTTTATTAATATTTCGAATTTGCTCTATTTTTTTTTGCATTTTAATTTTAGTATTTATTTTTATTATCTTTACTTTCTTCATTTTTTTTAATGTTTAATTTTAATATTCATAATATTTAATATTATTTATTAAATAAAATATTATTAAATTAATATTTTAATAATATAAAAAAAATATTTTGTAATATTCAGATTTGATTTCAGTTAATGAAAACTAATTTTAATACTTTTAGTTTTAGACAACAATAGCAACGCTGGTTGTAAATAATTTGATATAAAATGCTTATTATATATAAAAGATCTACAAGAGTCTTTCATGCTGCACTCTGTTTTTTTCCCGCAGAAAATCAGCTCTTCTGAAGCCGACTCCTGGCTCCGGGAGGATCGTGTACGAGCCTGACGCCAACGACGACTTTGACGAGGAGGATCCAGATGATGATCTTGATGTGTGAATGAAGACAGCCCACATCATGACCTAAATCTGTGAATGTCAGATCCATCTTTATAAATATATTTATTATTTTTTATTTTATTATGACTCATACAGTCTGTGGCTGTCTGTTGTCTATCAGCTATCACGAGGCCAGGTTTGAGAACAGATATGAACTGATGAACCACTGTTCTTAGTAATGTTATGCAGCTTTTGTATTGGTAGAAAAATTGGAGGATTAAAAAAAACTCTCATTGGAAAATATTTTACGTCTTGATTAAGATCTTTATTGACTTAATACTTGGCTAATTTTGTTCAGTTTTTATACATGTAGACATGGAGGGGCAACTTTAATAAATTATCAATAAAATTTATATTAAAAGTCAACTATTCATACAAATTTTACACATTTTATTTCAAGTTTTCACATACTTAAAGGGATAGTTCCCCCTAAAATGAAAATTAAGTCATGTTGACTTGTAGTCGTTGACTTCCGTAGTATGGAAAAAAATACAATGGAAGTCAACGGTTATCATCAACCGTTTGGTTACCAGCCCAGCATTCTTCAAAATATCTTCTTTTGTGCTCAACAGAAGAAAGACATTCTTATTTGGAACAATATGGAACGAAAAGTGAATAACTTGCTCTTAACGACGTAACGTGCTGTAAGGGCTACTGAACGGATCTTTCTGCTGAACAAAGATTTGATTCTAATGAGTTGAATTATCACTCACTGCTGTTCATCGAATTTTTGTATTTTAATAGGAGTCCACATTACTGGGACTTGGAACCACAACTGTTTCTGAGGAACTACATTGTTTG